TTTATATCTTTTAATCGATTAATCTGTTTTGTGTTTTACAATAAAAACCTATTTGCAACCAGCCATACTCATTTCTTGTGGGGTTGAAATAAGCTCCCATGTTTCGTTTTTTATCAATACTTTCATTTCTTCAATCATCACTTCTTTCCATTTGGAATCTCTTAGCACTTCTCTCCAATTCTGTGGAATAAACACAGAGGAAACATATAAAGTAAAGGCTCTATAGGAGGGAGATAGAATGTCATAGAAAATAAAGTTAGACATAAAATGTTTAGTGCAAGTTCTGATTCCTTTTGTAAAAGCAATAGGTTTGTCAGATAATTCACAAGGAAAAAATAACTCACCAGTATTTTCAAGAACTGAGAAATTTTTTTGACCCGGGATAGACTATATAATGGTTTTTCCTGTCTTATCTCTCATTGAATAGCTCTTCAAATCCAGTTTATTTAGTCGTACAACATTTTCTTCTTGAGTAAGATTTTCTAACATAGAATTCTCCCCCTAAATATGACTATCAAGGGTTACCGAAATAGGCATCACCTCTTTCATTTCACTCTTCCCTTGAAGAGATATTGGGGTGGAGCTGAAGTATGGTTCAAATTCTCCAAAAGTAATATCTATAGTTATAAAGTATTTTTTAAATGGTTGATGATAACACTTGTATCTCTTTTGAGTACAAGAATATCTAACAAATACACACTTGAGAGCTGTAGATTCCAGTTTACTTACATTTCTAGTATGGACAAAGCAAATACATTCAAACACTTTAGGGGGAACAGTATAGGAATTTGTACCTTGCAAAACCTCCAGATGACTTCTAAAATCAAGAACCTGTAAAGACATTCTATTAATAAGGTAGACAGCTGAGAAAATTGAATATCTCCAATAAATTTTTGGTAGATTCATGATAAACATTAGTGGCCGAGTTATCTCAAATATGTGTCTGTTTTTTCTTTCATCAATCCCATTATGTTCATAGTATATGCACAACTTGTTTTGTGAATTATCCAATTAGACTACAAGTAAGTACGGAATCCATCATTCATATATTTTGTACTGTTGTCTGTTTTTAAAATCTTAACTTAAGTATCAAATTATGTACATATCATTTTATGGAATGACTGAAAACATGAGAACACATTATTTTTGCCTTTCAACAGATAAATTCATGTTAATCTAGTACAACAATTAATAAAATAACAAATCATTTATGATCAGATAAGGATGTTTTTTAAGTAGATCCCCAGACATTTGAGTGCATGGTCATAAAAAGGGTAGGACTTTATGATTAGTCACATGATATGAACTCCTTATATTTACTTAGCTCATATGCATCATAAAATAAGGAATCCATAAAAGTTCTTTTAAATAATGCGGAATATAATTTTTCTAAAGTAAAGAAAGAAGGATGTCCCAACTGTCGATGCAACTGTAGGATTTCTCTATAGACATCCGTATCTCCGCAAGCAGCTTGATTCCCAATTACGTTTCGACTTCTATTTAAGGCATATAAGTCATGCTGTAGTCTACCAGGATCAATCGTATTTCCTGTTTAAGATCTTAAAGGACACAATGATCAGGAAAAATTTTAATTTTACAGTTAAAATTTCTAATAAGAGCACTAATGGATAAGAGACTGTCAGAAAATTAGGCAAATGAAAGACTGAAAACAGTATAATAGTCAGAGTACAATTAATGGAATCTGTTCCAGATAAATGAGTGTATGATCTATATGCGACATGAACATTTTCTCGTTGAGTACATGGAAAATAGTTAGGAAGTTTTAAAAGCGCCTATCATGTGTTTATTAGCTCTAGAGTTTATAATCCAAATATCATAATTGAAAATAGCAGGGAGAGAAGTAATACCTGAGTTTACTATTTTGACGTACCAATAGTTGATGAAGGGTTATCCGAACTTGGAACAAACAATCTCCTTTTGTCATTATTTGAAAATAATTAGAAATAGAAAAAGAACAATACCCTGTGCTAATCTCAATGAGATAGAAAGGTCCTTTTGATCAGTACCAAGAATGCCAAAAATACTACAAACCACAATCAGATCTGTTAGACAGCAAAAATGGCTCAAAAAATGGCTTAGATCGGCTTGGAAGTGGCTCAGCTCAACAACTCACTGTGTCTCCGGAAACATATGCTATTCACATGCCAAGGGAGGGCATATCGCACCATGTGCGGCTGGGAGGACAAAAATTGCACGCGGCCGCACGGATCCCTGAAAACAGATCGGGTTGGGTGGTGAAGTCGGATATGCGAAACTGTTCGTGCGCGAACTAGAGTGCCTTTTGCGAACAGAGCAAGTCGAAGCACGAAGCAGAGAGCTTGGCATCGTGCGACCACGTGGATCCCAAAAAAACAAATCGGGTCGGATTGGGTCGGGTGTGCACGAACCAGAGAAGGAAGTAGCACAAACAGCTATAAGTGGACATATTGGAATGCGAAGCAGAGGGTAGCGTACGAAGGGTCACGTGAACCGTTGTTGTTTGACGAAGCAAGCAAAGGGCTATGTGTGAAGGAGCAAACGAGTCGGGCATACGAACCAGATAAGTCGGGAACGTGAACCAAAGAGCTGTGTGCAAAATGCCGCTTGAACTGTTGCAGTTGGGCGGAGCAGACAGGTCGGGTAGCGCGGAGATAGTTGCTGGAGTAGGGCGGCCAGCTGCCTGGTGAGACTATCCCTCTAATGGCTGGTGAGAAGATTCTAAGGTTTAAAAAAAATCTTAAAAGTAGAACTCTAAAATACCCTTTGTTCTTATACTATGTAGAAATTTAGAAAAAAGTATTTACTTTATTTCCACTATATATTTTGGTGTTACAAGTAACACATACATACAAGACTCTTACGTACAAATAAAGAAATTACCCTTATAGTAGGGATACTAAATAATTAAAAATAAAAGCTATATAGGAAAAATAT